AGTTGATTCCCTCACTAATTCATGGGCCCCAGAAGAAGGGCCTCTTCTACCTGCACCCATAGCAAAGCACAGGCTGGGCCCCGGGGTGAGGGGAGGCTCAGAAAGACCTGACTAAGGGTCAAGGGGTTGGTCAGGGTTGGTGCTCAATTGAACTGAACTCACTACCTCTCACTCTCTCAGGCTCAGGTTTCTTTGGGGTGAAATAGAAGCCAAAGTCCTTGCTATGGCCGAGGCCCTACCTACCTAGTCTGTTTCCTTTCTGACCTTCCCCTACCCCACCCTGAATCTCCCCACTCCAGTCACACTGGAGCTTTCTTACTTTCATACATGCTCGGAGTCCTTTGGTGACTGTTCCCTGTGCCTGACACACTCTTCCCACAGTTAATCACATGGCTCTCTCCCTCACTTCCTTTGTATCTTTGCTCAAATGACACATTCTTTATTTGTTTGTTTATTTATTTAGAGACATTGATTTGCTGTCCCACTTGTTTATGCATTCATTGGTTGATTCTCATATGTACCCTGACTAGGGATCGAACCTGCACCTTTGGCCTATCGGGACGATGCTCTACCTGAACCACCTGTGCAGGGCTCAAATGCCATATTCTCTATGAGGCTTACTCTGACTGCCCAACTTAAAATCACACCCCACCTCCTTTTCCTTGCTCTATCTTTCCCTGTAGGACATACTTCCTGCTCTGTCCACCTCTCCTCTGCCTCTGTGGCACCTTCCCAAGACTGTTCTTGGGTCCCTGCCTGCCTCAGGCTGCTCATAGGCTCTTCTTTGGGGCTAAGGAGGCCATTCATGGGGAGCCTACATGGTGATGCATGGGAGCTGGAGCTGGATGGGAGCCAAGGGATCGTCCAGGAAACTGTACATCCCTCCAATGTGCAGCCCTGGGTTTGTTCTCCTGTGGTAAGGACAGAGCAAGGACTGAGGTGGGTGAGCTATGGACATGGGGGCTCAGTCAGAGATGGGGGGTGATGTTCCTATCCCAAGCAGGGCAAGGTAGTGAGTGCCTGGTGTGAGCTTCAGGCAGTCAACAGGGGAGGGTCACCAGTCTTAACAAGCACTAAAGGCCACACTTAGAGTTATCTCTACCCCCCTTCTCCTCTTTTGCCTCTGCACCCCATCTCCTCCAAGCTCAAGCTCTATTCCACCCCACCCCCAATAGACAATAGAGCCTGTAACTCACTTTTTCCTCCAATCATGATTATTAAATAAATATTTATCCAGCATCTACCATGTGCCAGGCACTGCAGAAAGTTCTGGGGATCTACTGGAAAGTAAGACAGATAAATTCCCTAGTTTTCATTCATCTTACAATATATATTGAGCACCTACTATGTGTCTGGCACTGTGCTAGGCACTGAGAATACACGAGGGAGTAAGATCCAATCCCTCCTTGCCTCTCTCCCTCCCTCTCATTTGTTCACTCGCTCGCTCGCTCACTCACAAACACGTGGTTGAAGCGCCTGGTGCACTTAGTAGACCCCTTCATCTTTGGCAGAACCTGGTGCATATTTCAGGTCTCAGTGCTGTTTATAGAGCCTGGGAGCAGACTTTGCCCCACCCTGTGCTATTTGCAGGATGCCTTTTGGTTGTCAGGTCCAGCCTGATGTCTTGCCTGTGTCTTCAGGCATCTGGTTCCTGCAGGTAGGTGGGCAGAGAGATAGACAGACAACTGAGTTCCACCTTCCTCCTTGCTCTCCCCCATTTGCTTCTCCCCCAAGGCTCACTGAGGGGGATGGCATTCATCAGATCCCCAGCTGCCCCTCTGCAAAGTGGCTTAGTTGGTGTGGCCTTCCCACTGGTCCAGTCTTCACCAGAAGGAAGAAAGGGCAAGACCTAGCTATCTACCCCCAGTCCTTCTCCACATCCCTGTGACACTCAGGTGTCTCAGCTGATCCTAGCTGTCCCAGCAGCCCTGGGCAACAACAGGAGGTGTGTGTGGACAGGCCACTGGGTTACCTATTAACTCAGCCATGAGTTAAAGGGCTGATGGGCAGCAAGTGCCCTTGAGTCTCACTTCTGCTCATGGGTTCGGGCTGCTGCTTCAGGTCTTCCCGCAAGGCCAGGATAACCCAGTCGCCCACGACAGTGAAGATGAAAGCAATACTGCGGAAGGAGGTGGTGCGAGTGTTCCTGGCCGAGCTCATGAGCACATATGTCATGATGGTGAGTGGGCGGGTGGCACAGGGTGGGTGGGATCTGAGGAAGGGGCATGAACCCCAGGACTTCAGGAGGGTGGGGCTCAGTATGGGCAATCCATGACCCCTCCCACTGCTGGCCCTCTGGGTCACATTGCCCATTTCCTGGTCCCTGAGCTGGGAGCCTGAGGGTGAAGCATAGGAAAATAAGGAGAGAGCTCTGTCTTTCTCACCAAGTCTTTTTGGGAGAGAAAGGGCTCATACTTTGTGGAGGTAGAACAAAATCATGGGCTGGGGGTGTGTCAGGGGACAGGGCTGGAAGTGGGAAGAAGGGAAACCAAGAGGAAAGAGACTGGAGAGAATGCTGAGTTTTTGTTTTTCTTAACCCTCACCTGAGAATATTTTTTTCCATTGATTTTTAGAGAGAGTGGAAGGGAGGGAGGGAGGGGGAGAGAGAGAGAGAGAAACATCTATGAGAGAGACACATTGGTTGCTTCCTGCCCGTGCCCTGACCGGGGCTGGGGATTGAACCTGTAACCCAGTTACGTGCCCTTGACTGAGACCTTTCAGTGCTCTAACCACTTAGCTCTAACCACTGAGCTACGCTGGCAGGGGTGAGTGTCAGGTTTTGAGAATTAATGCTGAGGGCAAGGGGGAGACACTGAAGGCTTTCAAGCAGGGGAATGATGTGGTCAGATTTGGATTTTAGAAGGAAACCCTTTCTGGGTGTAGTGTGGAGTCTCAGCAGAATGGGCAATGCTGGAGGGAGGGGAACCAGTTAAGAGATTGTTGCAAAGACCTAGCATAGAGAGAGGGTGGTGGATGGTCCAAGGACCGAGAAGAACGCACACGTTTGAGGCAGTTGTAGAAGATGGAATCAAGGAGGTTTCATAAGCCATAGATGTGGGGTAAGTGCTAAGGGGCCATTCTGAGCCCTGGGCCTAGCGCAGGGTGAGAGGTAAGATCAGTTTGAACATGATGGAGTAAGGTGCCCGGGAAGGAATCTAGAAGGTGGTTGGATATAGAGGTCTGGAGCTCACGAGAGTAGCTTGGGCTGGAAGTATAGAGGTCATCAGAATATGGATGGTGGTTATAAAAACTGTTCAGTGAGAGTGTACAGGAAGAGCCAATAAATTGAAGAAAGAGCCCCGGAGAACAAAGAGGGGCACACGAAGGGGCCTGAGAAGTATCGGCTAGAGAGGTGGGAGGAAAATAGGTTACAGAAGTGTGTGGGAGTCCACAGCAGTGTGGGCAGCTGCAGCCAGCCAGAGAAGGTGAGAACCGACCACGGTCCATGCAGTTTGATGACATGGAAGTCACTGGAGACCTTGGCAAGGGCTCTTTTAATGGGTGGCAGGACAGAAACGAGATCTCAAGCAGGAGGTGAGGTTTCTTGGAAACTCCGCCTTCACCTGCTTCAGCTCTGCCACCTTCCCCAGCCTCTGCCTCTAAGCTGTAGCCATGCTTGTTTGCACCTTAGGGAGGACCCAGGTCCATGAAAAGAAGGGGCAGCCTCTGGGAAGAAAAGCAAAGGCAGTCAGGAGCATGCTGAGGTGGGGCCAGCGGGGGCAGGGGTGGGGGTGGAGAGGCAGTGTGTGTGACAGTGTGAGTGTGCCTGAGTGTGTGTGGTTGTGTTTGTGCACAAGTATGAGTGTAACTGTTTGTGTGCATGTTGAGCCACAGGGTAGGAGATGATGGGACCTACGGAGCCCAAGGGACTCTGAATACCTGGATTTTTATCCTGATCCTGCCACTGAGATCTGCCTTGGGCAGATCTCTTGGTGGCTCGGAGCCTGTCTTCTTATTTATAAAATGTGCTGAATGGGGCCTCTGTGGGCTTTGGATTTGAATTCTGGCTGTGATATCTTCTACCTGTGTGATCTTCCATAAATATCTTAATTGTGCAGAACTTTAGCTTCCTTGTGAGTAAACATGACACTAACATGGAGCTGGCAGAGTTGTGTGAGGAAGGCCAAGAGCCCAAAACCCAGTTCACATGTAGGACACATGTGTTGCTCTCTGGTCATTATGACAAGTGCCCTCAGCTGCTTTCTCCTCCCTGCCTCCCACCCGCTCCACCTCCCCCATTACTCACCCTCCCGCTTGGCTCCTGAGCTGTGAGGACAGCACTGGATTCTGTCCTGCCTTAATCCAGGGCAAAGTAATTCATTTATGACAAAACATTCCAGTCCCATGAGGGCTGTTAAACCTTGGAACCGTGGAGCCAGGAGGGTGCTTCCTTGAAGAGCTCTTAGGGGAAACAGGTACCATCCACATACATTGAAGTCTGCCTGTGTCCGTGTTTCTCTTCCTTTTCATGAGATTATTATTTAGCACCTAATACATATCAGGCACTGATGCTAAACTAAGCCCCTTAGATGCAGCACCTTCCCAAATCCTCACAACAGTCCTGTTGGTCTATTATTATCCCCATTTCTCAGATGGGGAAACTGAGACTCCACAAGACTTACTTGCCCAAGGTCACATTTTAAGTTAAGATTAAATTCAGTTAGTCTAACATCACAGCCTTGACCCTTAATCTCTATGCTCTGTCCCTTAGCTTAGCTATGGCAGGATTTCTAACAACCTGGCTTGTTAACTGGCCCCCAGCTCAGGTAAGACCCTCACTTTCAGGCTTTAGGTAGTTCAAGACCTCACTCCAGGTCTTGTTTTCCCCATCTGTAGAGTGGGGGCAGAAACATTTGCCATTCAGATTTGCTGTGAGAATTAAAAAGAAGTAACACATGTAAAATAACTTTGAGAGGTTCAGGCTCACATAGGACATTGTGTTACTGTTATTTTTATTTGTTGGGATTGTGCCAAACTGATAGGAAGCTCAGTGAGTCATCAGGGTAAAGGTTTTAGGAGAAAAGCAAGTGTGACCTTGGGCTCCATTTACTGCAGCCAGGATGAGGGAAATGGACTGTTCTCCACAATTTCACTCTGGGATCTCTGGGAGTGTTGTCCTCGAGGCTAGCCTTCTGACTCTTGGAGGGACTTGGACAGGCTGAGCCACATTTATTGACCAGGAAGAGAGGAGTTGGACCATCAAGGCTCTGAAAAACCATCTGTAGACATGAACTGAACCATAGGGCAGGGGTTGCAAACTCACACGCTCCAGGGGCCAGAGAGAGCAACTCAGAGTGGCGGGGCCTTGTGGCTAATTGCAGAGTGCCAACCTGTGCAAGGACGCAGCCGCCACTGCTCCAGCTGACTGTTGCCATGCAGGGCAGAAAGCAGGTCCGCATTACCTGCGCTTCTGATTTCTTTAGAGAAGCTGAAACTTGTGATCATCAAAACCAAGTTATCCAAATCAAGAATGTGTGCTGGATGGATAAGGCCCTTGGGCTGCCAGTTGGTAACCGTGACACAGGAGACCATGTGGGGCTTACTCATTCATTCATTATTTTTTAAAAAATATGTCTTCATTGACTTCCGAGAGAGGAAGGGGGACGGAGAGAGAGACAGAAACATCAATGATGAGAGAGTCATTGATCGGCTGCCTCCTGCACGCCCCCAACTGGGGATAGCGCCTGCAACCAGGCATGTGCCCTGATCGGGGGTCAAACCGTGATCTCCTGGATCCTAGGTCAATGCTCAACCACTGAGCCATGCCAGATGATATTCATTATTTTTAGCAAATGGTTCTGAGATCCTACTTGGAAATAAGGACCCTTGGTCTTCAGACTCTCCATGCCGGCTCCACTCCCTGCACTTCCTGACACCCCTCAAACCTGTCAGCCTGTCCTGGCCTCACACTCTACTCTCACACCCCATCTGTTCCTGTCCTTTCCTGCGTCATCTTACCCTTGACCCTAAGCTAGCCCGCCTCTGGGCCCCTCTGCACCTGTCCTGGGGCTCTTGAGGAACCCAGTGGGCCCTGCTCACTGCCTCACCCCTACTCTATCCGGGCTATTTCACTTTTTCTCAGACTTCCCCAAAGCTGCTCTGTGCTCTGCCTGTTTTTTAAATCAGCAAATGGCTTGCTCTCTAGCTTGACAGAACTATCAGGTAGCCTCCTGTGTCTGGTTCCTTACCCACCTGTCCCTGTCACCACCAGAACCCACCTACCTGTATATCCATATTTCTCCCCTGCACCAGGGCAGGGCCCTCTCTTTCATGTGGGACCCTCCTCTCCTGCGCCAGTCCCACCCGCGTCTATAGGTACGCCGCTTGTCCTTTTCTCTCTCCTTTATCTCCAGCCTCTCCCTCTCTCAATCTTAACATACCAAAGTCTCTCTACTTAAAACAGCACAACATGGAACAAAACTCCCCTCCCTTCATCCCGTAAGTCCCTTCATTTATCACATTCTCCCTCACTCCCTTCTCAGGCAGGTTCACAAAGGGAGGTCTACACTGGAGCCCTTCAGCTCTTCCTCACTGCCTACTCACCTCTCAGCCTCTAGGACCTGGCTTTTGTCCTCAAGCCCTGGTGATACAGTGCTCACCACATTACTAATGACCGTTGGATAGTGACATCTAAAGGGATGCTTTCCAGGTCTTCATGCACTTGACCCAAAGGCTGCAACTGACTGTGTGGACCACACCCTTCTTGGGAAACTCTGCTTCTCCCTGTGCCCAGGACGCACGCTCTCTTTGTTCTTTCATTTCAACGCCTGCTGCAGCTGTGTGGCTCCAGGTTCAGACCTCAGGTGCTGTCTCCTCTGTGTCCTCTTACCTGCCTTCATCCGCCCTGATGGCTTCAGAGGAAGCCTTCAGTCCACAATTCTCCAGGATTTCTTATTCAAAAACTCTAGAACAGAAATGTCCAAGGGAAATATGAGTCACATTTGTAATTTAAAATGTTCTAGTAGCCATATTTAAAAGGCAAAAAGTGAAAGGTGAAACTAATTTTAATAATTATAATATTTAACCCATACAACTAAAATATTACCAGTTCAACATGCAATCAATATACAATTATTAATTAGATTCTACATTCTCCTTTTCCTGCTGTCTTTGAAATCTGGTTTGTACTTTATACTTAAAGCAGATCTCAATTGGGACTAGCCACATTCCAAGTACATAATAGCCACATGTGGTTAGTGGCCATCATATTGGATGATACAAATCTAGACTCTGATTTCCAGCAGTCTAGACATCTAGAGGTTCCTCAGAGTCAGCATGTCCAAAACACATGGACTTTTCAGCAGAGGTGCTATCTGAGCGTGGCCTTAAAGTAGAGTATCATTTTTTTCAGGATCTAGGATCTAGATATTCCAGAAAGAGGGAATAGCATGTGCAAAAACACAGAGGCATGAAAAAGCAAGGCATGCAGGGAGCAGTGTGGTGGTTTGGTTTGAGGCTGTCTCGCATAGGTGACTGCCTGGATTCAAGCCCTGGTTTACTACATTCAAGCTCTACACTTTGGATAAGCCACTTAACTTCTCTAAGCCTTGGATTGCCCATTCTTAAATGGGGAGATTAATAGTACTTAATGCATATGTGGTGTAAGGATTAAAGGAAGTAATAGATATGACTTTTACCAGTGTCTGACACATAGTCAATTCTCAATAAATGGTGGTTATTATTTAGCAGTAATGCTGTTGCTGAACATAGAGAACACTGGAGCAGATACGAAATGGAGAGGCAGAAATTATAAAGGGTTTTGAATGGAGGCTACTGAGTTTGGACTTTATCCTAGAAATGAAGGGGAGCCAGCGAATGTTTGAATGAAGGGCAGACATGATCAGCACTCAGTGTTAAAGGCCACTCTGGCTGCAAGGAAGAGGCTGAGAAAGATCTGGGGAGAATGTAAGCAGAACTGATTGGGTGTGGGGAGAAGGGAGAGAAAACACTCATTTGTGACATCCAAGTTTCTGGTTTGGCTAACTGGAATGAGGAACATAGGACGGGGATCACATTTTCTGAGTTGGTGATCTTTGAACATGGAGCCTGAGATGCCTGTGGAACACCTAGACTTTCAGTGGTTATCTAGAAATAGGGATCTGGCTCCTAGGTGGAGGTTTTGGGAATTTCGTGCACTAGACATATCTGAAGCCATAGATCTGGTAAGAAGACCCAAGAGTGACTGGAGTGAGATGTGAAAGGGGCCAGGGATGGAGCCCTGGGATCGTCCATATTCACGAAACAGATGAAGAAAAAAGAATGTGGGAAGGAACTGTAGAGAGGGAGAGGCTATGGAGGTAAGAGAAAACCCAGGAGGGAGACATGTCATGGAGACTAAAAGGAGGGGCTTTCCAGGAGCACAGAATGGTTAAGAGGGTCAACGTCAGCAAAGTCAAGGAAGACAATGTCTGAAAGGACCTTTGGAAAATCAGAAGGCTGGAGCCCTCAGAGCTTCAGTGTTGGTAAGATGTGGAAACAGAGAGCAAGGGAAGGGTTAAAGGAGCCAGCCATGGGTTCTTTCCTTGAGCCTGACTGACACAGGGAGGGGGTGTCCAGAAGCCCACGGGTGGACAGGAAGGCTGGGCTGAAGTGGGAAGGTTTACTTTTAGGAAGGAAGAGACCTGAGTCTGTGGGAGCCAGTCAAGGGGAGGGTGGAAAATATAGGCAAGAGGGAGGCCTCTGCAGAGGGAGGGAGAGGCTGGGCATAGGTATCAGAGCTGAAGGGATAGGCTCTAGATTCAGGTGGCTGGCTGCAGGAGGTTGAGTGAGGGCCTAGCTTCAGGCCTCTAATGTCCCTGGAAAGGGGATCAGTGGGGGTGTCACCTGAGGAGATCCAGCAGTTAGGGATGGGTAAGAGCTAGAAGTTCAGGAATGACACCTGAGGGCAATGGAAATACTGCTGAGGGCAAGACAGTTAGAACCCCACTGGCTTCCAGGGCTGACGTGTGAGGGGGCAGGGGGTTGTGGGAGGGGGGCTGTGGCAGAGCCCAGGCATGAAGTTTGGAAATCCCTTGAAGAAGTGTCCTTCAGGCGAGGCTGAAGTGTGAGATGCTCTGAGGGGTTCAATCCACAGCAGCCATGCCTTCCTCGAAGCCCTGACTCCTCCCCTGAACTTCAGGTAGGCTCGGGGTCCATGGGCCTGGATGTATCTGAAGGAGTCTCTGACTCTGCTGCCCCCCACCCTGGCTCCTTTTACACCCTCCACCCAGCTCTCACTGGTCAGGTCTTAGAGGCCTTGACAGGGGCAAGCAGGGAGAGGTCATGGGGAGGAAAGTCTCTGGAGGAAGAGGGCATGGCAGAGGGTCTCCAAGAGCAATTTGGGGAGGCCCAGGGTGTGAGGGTGAGGAGCCCAAACTAGGCTCTGAGCTCTCCTCTGAGGTAGGGGCTTCTGGGAAGGCAGTCCCCTCAGAGGCTCTCCCTCGCAGGTGTTTGGCCTTGGCTCTGTGGCCCATATGATTCTAGGAGATAAATTTGGGAGCTACCTCGCGGTCAACTTGGGTTTTGGCTTCGGAGTCACCATGGGAATTCACGTGGCAGGGAAAGTCTCTGGTGAGTGGGCCCTGCCTGACCAGCAAGGCCAGGAATCTCCTGCAGGTTCTTCCTGCCCAGCGCCAGCCAGCCCCTTCTCCCAGCCAGCCAGCACCTCATCTTCACCGGCCACTTGGAGGGAGAACACCCTAAACCTTTTCCCCTGTCTTGCCCAGATTCTACAAGAGCCTCCTTGACCCACCATTTTTATTAGCTGGGTCAACTTAGCCAAGCTATTTAACTTCGCTACTCCTCCCTTTCCTTAATGGTCAAATGGAGATGGTGGTCCTGCCTCGGTGGGTCCTTGTGAGAATTAAATGAGTGTACTGCATAAATGCTTGCCTTATTATTGTTGTTCGCTGCTCTCAATATTTTTATTGTTGTTGGTTTCTGCTCTCACTCTCCCAACACACTTGCCCTCCCCTTAGGGGCCCACATGAATGCAGCGGTGACCTTCACCAACTGTGCACTAGGCTACATGCCCTGGAAGAAGTTTCCTGTGTACATACTGGGTCAGTTCCTGGGCTCCTTCCTGGCTGCTGGCACCATCTACTGCCTCTTCTACAGTGAGTGGGTGTCCACTTCTGGCCTCAGCCTTCTCCTCTGAAATACGGGCAGATCCAAGCTCAGTGTCTTGGCCTGTGAAAATGTCTGGGAGAGAAAAGCCCTGGAGGTGCTCCCCAACCCTGCATCCTACAACCTTATTTCTGCAACTTCAGTGGGGTTGAGCTAGGGGCAGGTTCACACTTAATCTTTGTCTCTACAGCAGCTCTTATGGAGTACACGGGCGGACATCTGACAGTGACTGGTTCTATAGCCACCGCTAACATTTTTGCCACCTACCTTCCTGCCCACATGACATTGTGGAGGGGCTTCCTGGATGAGGTCAGTGGTTCAGGGTGGGTGCCCCTCCAGAGGCCCTCCCCACCTCAAGAAGGGGCCAGCAGGCAGCCCCTCACCACAGAGAGGATAGAACTCTGATGGGAACTGTACCAAGATGTATCTCTGCCAGTGGATTTGGACTGGGGGCACTGCTGAGGCCCTTTGGCTTGGCTAGGGGGCCTGGGTGGCTGGCTTGGCTAGGGCCCTGGGTGGCTGCCACAGCATTTGCTCCCCAGATGTTCGTTACGGGGATGCTCCAGCTGTGTCTCTTCGCCATCACGGACAAGCGTAACCACCCAGCACTGGAAGGGACACAGTCCGTGTTGATTGGCATCCTTGTTGTCATCCTTGGAGTGTCCCTGGGCATGAACTCAGGATATGCCATCAACCCATCCCGGGACCTGCCTCCCCGCTTCTTCACCTTTATTGCTGGCTGGGGCACACAGGTCTTCAGGTACTGCCCTGCCCAGTCCACTCCCTCGAGTTTTCTGTGGGTTCCTTGCATGCGGAGGGGTGGGGGTGATGTGAGGAGCAACACAGGAGAGTCCTGCAGAGCTGTCAGGTGGCCTGGGGAGGCAGGAGTGGGTCCTGACCTTCCCTCTCACCAGCACTGATGTAGATCCTGCTCCTGGGCTGAATGTAAACCCTGCCCCAGAATCAGGGTGAAGCTGACCAGGGTCTCAGGCTCAGGGGTGACTCCTGGGCTAGGATGGGGATCACTTCTCTACTCTCAGGCCTACTCCCTGTCTCAGTGTGTGGATACAGGTGCTATCCTGGACATCTACACCCTCACCAAGCCTCTTGCCTCTTGCCTACAGTGCCAGGCAATGGTGGTGGGTGCCAGTGGTGGCACCAACCCTGGGTGCCCTCTTAGGTGGCATCATCTACGTGGTCTTCATTGGCTCCATCATCCCACGGGAGTCCCAGAAATTGGATTATCCTGTGCAGCATGAAGACCACCGAATAACTGTACCGCCCAAGACCATCTCTCACCAGACTTCATCCCCTACCCTGGCTTCTGTCTCTGTGTCCCCTGACAACAGACCTACAGTCCGACCTACCCCACACTTAAATGACACCATCCGAATACATCAATTCTAAGTAAGATTATTTGTAACCCCATCCCCACCCCAATAAAGCAAGTCTTGTCCCTCAGTGGTACCCTTGCATACTAGGTGCCCCCTATGGTTGGGCTTCTCTCCTAGTTCTTCCAGAAACTCTAGGGTTATGCCATAGCCCAAAGCTGGAGCATGGACCAAAGAGGCCTCTAACTCCTTCCAGTCCTGGGTGATGGGGTGCCCCCTGGGGAAGAATGGGGAAGGGCCAACAGGAAGAGATTAAAAAATGCCAGGCACAGAACAGTGGACTTTCAGGCATAGGTTAGGAAAGGGATGGTTTGGGAAAAGGACAACAGCTAGCTGATGGGGGGTCAGTTCTGGGGATACCCTGAGCTGCCCTGAGATAGGACACAAGACTCTTCTTCAGTTTTGGTCAGTCCTTGTACCAGACAAGCCCAAGCATGTAGATCAGTTTTTTTCAACCTTTTTTTTTTTAATTATTGCACCACCTCAGAAGCCTTTATATATATATATATATAAAAATTTTTTTTATTGAGCTTTAGAGAGAGAAGGGAGAGGGGGAGAGAGAGAGAAACATCAATGTGAGAGTGGAAACATTAATCAGTTGCCTGCTGCATGCCCTCTACCAGGGACTGAGCTGCAACCCGGGCACGTGCCCTGACCAGGAATCGAACTGGCAACCTTTTGGTTTATAGGACAATGCCCAGCCAACTGATCCACACCAGCCAGGGCCAGATATTTTTTTCTTAACCACATGATATTTTAATGCCACAGATATACTGTATATGTTTATGTACTTTATGTATATCTGTGCTTTATACAGAAATAGTAAAATCTGTTTCATCTTCTCCTTCCATGAATCAATTGTCTCTCTTGGGGGCAAAATTACCCCCCACCCTTGAAAATGCTTGATGTAGACAGATAACGTATGTAAGGGTTACACTCTTCTTCCTTATTCCTGGGTGCAACAGCTCTCCCATGTTAAGAAATTCCAGAGTTAGAAAGGAACATGTAGCCCAGCCAGTGTGGCTCAGTGGTTGAGCATCGACCCATGAACCAAGAGTCCCAGTCAAGGCACATGCCTGGTTTGCAGGCTTGATCCCCAGTACAGCGGAGCATGCAGGAGGCAGTCGATCGATGATGTTTCTCTTTCATCGATGTTTCTCTCTATCCCTCTCCCTTGCTCTCTAAAAAATCAACAAAAACATACATATTTTTTTAAAGAAAGGAAGACGCAGAGAGGAAATCCTTCTAAAAGGTGTAGAGACAGGTAACGGCCTCATGGAGTTGAAGGGGACAGGCCCAAAGGTTGAGTAGAGGTGGGGCAGCCAGGACCCACTGACTCTGGGGCCAAGGAGGAATCATCCTGCTTTCTGGGATTCAGAATGCAGCATTGCCCATGGTTCCTGTCATTGCTTGTGTGTTTACCCTTTCAGCACCTGAGCACCTCCTGTATGCAGGCCTTGCCTGGGCAGTAGAGCTGCTGTAGTGGAGGGGGCTGGGTCTCTACCTTCAATAAACGCAGTCTAATGGGAACAGAAAGAGCTAAGTGGTGGAGAATGGGTTACATGGAGGCTGTGGGGGCTCACAGCCCAGCTTCAAAGCCGAGATCTAGGATGGCTTCCCAAAGGAGACAGAGCAGAGTTGGGGTTGGGGTGGTGGTGGTATACTTTCAAGGGCTGGCTGCTGCACTTTACAGACTGAGGGGACAGGGGGCAGAGGAGGCTGGGCTTTCTTATGGAGGTAGGGACATGGTAAGAAGAGACTTAGAAGGCCCACCTGAGCTGCAGTGTGCAGGTTGGTGGAAAAGGGGGAGACTGGGGCCTGCAAGGGAGTATGGTGAGAGGCAATAATCCCAGAGGAGCAGCAAGCAGTACACCTAACAGGTCAGTGCTGGTGGGAGTGGAGAGAAGGGTTTCACTCAATGCCTGGGAGGTAAAACCCTCAGGACTTGGGCTCAGATTGGAGTGGGTGAGGGCGAGTCAGGAGTCAGGTCTTTCAGTTTCTGGCTTGGGCCTGGGACACTGGAGATGTCCCTACTGAGAGCAGAGCATGGGAGGGGAACCAGTTTGGAAAGGAAGATAAGTTGAGCTTGAGTTGTCTATGGGACTTGAAGGGCAAAAGATGTGTTGTCTCGGGCAAGTTCCTCAACCTCTCTGGCCTCGTTTTTCTCTTTTGTAAAATGAGTCTAATAATATTACCTACCATTTGTGTTGCTGTGTATATTCATAAAACATACACAATGCTGAGAACAGTGCTTGGCACAGACCAGGTGCTCAATAAACAATTATGCCTTTTGTACAGAGTTCAGAAAAAAGTTGAAAACAGAGATTGAAAAAGTTGTGGTTGTGTGGATATAGCTGGGGCCATGGAATAGTGAAAGGAGGGTCAGTGAGCAGGATCTTGGGAGCACAGTCAGGAGGTGGTTGTGAGGTATGTATGCAGTGGGCACCTCAAGAGGTTTGGCTGAGAAGAGGGCACAAAGTGGATGGCCAGGGGGCACTGGAAATAATCCAAATGTCCACCAACATGGGAACAGATACACTGCAGTACAGCCACACACAACAGATTTGATACATCAGTAAAAACTAAGGCACAATAGCTATCTGCAACATGGAAAAATTTTGCAGGCATAAAAAGCAATGCAGTAGACTGTATACAGTATGACACCAGTTATACTGTTGATAAACACGCAACAAGTAACAGTCTTTGGGTAAACACATGATAAAACTACTTAAAAAAAAAGGGGGGGATGATTCTTTGAGGGATATAGACTATAGAAATGGGAGATGAAATGGGAAGTAGCATGGGGTGGTGCAAGCTATTAATAATATCATAGTTTTGGAGTTGGGGAAAAATTTATGGGCTATATGATTGTACTTTATGACATATAACTGTGATATTTGTAGGTTTCATATAAAAAGATGAACAGCTATGTCATAAGAATAGGTGGTAGGAAGAGTAGTGGGTTGCTGCCTGCTGAGATTACAGGGGGTCCAGGGATAAAGGGGAGAGATTTGAGTATGTCTGACATCCCATGGTGGGAGGAGCTCAGCCAGGGAACCAGGCCTGGGAGTGACAAGGTAAGGGCCCACAGCTGCAAGTCCCAGCCAGCTGCTTCCCTCAGTGATACTGGACAAGCCCCTCTTCCCCTCTCAGCCTCAGTGACTCTGTGAACATGAGAAGAGTGGCTTTCTAATTTCCAGTGTTTCAGAGCAGCGTAACCAGGGTGTCAGTCATAGGTGGGAGAGGCATATATGGGCCCCAGGGTTCTGGTTGCTACCCTCCCCTGTCCTTCACTGACTACTTCAGCCTTCTGGCATCCTCATGCCCCTAGAGGTGGCCTCAGAGCCAAGGCAGCCACTGGGTCCATCCAGAACCCCTGCCTGCTGTCCACTGCTCTGCCACAGATCTGTTCTAGGCCCATTGCTCATAACATCCTGCAGATTCTGATCCCAATGTCAGGCTAGATAAGCCCAATCCCGGTCACAGAGCATCTCTGTACACAGAGCACAGTCCCCTTTCATTCTCTTGGCAGACATTGGTTGAAAGCCTGCAACATGCCAGACACCATTCCAGTGCTGAGGACACATGCAGGAAGATACACAAAAGTCCTTGTTCTCACGGAGCTGATATTCTGTGCAAAACATGGTGTGTTAGTGATACATGCTGAGGAGGAAAAGCAGGAAAGGGAGATAGGAAGTGTGTAGGGCTATGAAGACAGAAGCCTCAATGACAAGGTGACTTTGAGTAAAGACCTGAAGTGGGTGAAGGAGTGAGCCATGTGGACACCAAGGAGAAGAGCATGCTGGGCTGAGAAAAGAGTCAGTGCTAAGGTTCTGAGGTGGGAACATGAAGGGGCCATTGCTGGAATGGAAAGAGGGAGGGGAAAGTGGAAGGCGAGGTCAGAGAAGAGGGGTAGGGTGAACTGAGGCCAGGCCTAGGGGAGAGTTGAGACCAAGACTTGGGACAGAGGGTGAGGGACGTTTCTGGAGGAGAGAGAGCTTTCACAGCAGGCAGGCAGGCAGGCAGGCAGGCAGGCAGGCAGGCAGGCAGGCAGGCAGGCAGGCAGGCAGGCATTGTGGCACCTGTGCATCCTTGATCTCGGTTCTCATACACGTACACACACACATATATACACACAATCCCTCCTCTAATCACTCCCTGGCTGGGCTCAGGGAACATCTGTGCAGCTCTGGGAGCCAGGCTAGGACATGAACCATGGGAGCCCTGGCTCCTCTCCCATTCTCGTACTCCCAAGCCCAGCATGGGCTGGATGTGTGACCCAAAAAGGACCCCCTCCACTCTCTGGGCCTTGGATTCCTTATCTGTAAGGCTTCAGTCTGTTGGTGTCTGGGGGGGCCCCCAGCTCTAACTTCTTCCAGAACTTTGAAGCCTCATGTTATGATACTACTTACCTACCCACCCCATGCCCCATCCCAGCTGAGGCTGTGGATGGGGACAGAGGTGGGGCAGGAAGAACTCCCAGCCTCAGGCCAGGCCCCTCCAGGGCTTTGCAGATAGAGGTTTGGTCCTCAGCCTGTTGGACAAAGACACTCCTCCAAAGAGGACATACAGATAGCTGAGACACATAAAAAAATGCTTGCCTAGCCAGCGTGGCTCAGCAGTTGAGCATTGACCTATATGATCCAGGAGATAGAGGTTCGATTCCTGGTCAGGGCACATGCCCGGAGTGTGGGCTCCATCACCAGTAGGGGGCGTGCAGGAGGCAGCAAATCAATGACTCATCATTGATGTTTCTCGCTCTCTCCCTCTCTGAAATCAATAGACATATTTAAAAAAAAAAAAAAAAAAAGTTCAACGTCACTAATCATCAGAGAAATGCAAATTAAAACCACACTGAGGTATCATCTTATACCTGTCAGAATGGCTACCATCAACAAATCAACAAACAAGTGCTGGTGAGGGTGTGGAGAAAGGGGCACCCTAGTACACTGCTGGTGGGAATGCAGATTGGTGCAGCTACTGTGGAAAACCAGTATGGTGTTTCCTCAAAAATTAAAAATGGAGCTGCCATTTGACCCAGCGGTCCCATTTCTGGGAATATATCCTAAGAATCCCGAACACCAATCAGAAAGAATATATGCATCCCTATGTTCATAGCAGTATTATTTACAAAAGCTAAAATCTGGAAACAGCCCAAGTGCCTATCAGTAGATGAGTGGATAAAAAAGCTGTGGGGCATTTACACAATGGAATACTATGTGGCTAAAAAAGAGGATCTCTTCCCCTTTGCAACAGCATGGAAGGACCTGGAGAGTATTATGCTAAGCGAAATAAGCCAGTCAGAGAAAAAATATCACGTGATCTCACTTATATGTGGAATCCAATGAACAAAATAGGTCCAGAGACATGGATGCATGGAACAGACTGACAGATCTTACAGAAATGGGGGTGGGAAGAGATTAAGCAAAGAACTTTTATGCATATATGCATAGCCCATGGACACAAACTATAGTGCTGCAAAGGCCTGGGGTGAGGCAGGGGCTGGGTAGGTGGGGGAGGGGAGGAAAATGGGGGACATGTTATACTATCAAAAATTAAAAAAATGAAAAGGTGATACATTCAAAAGATAATAGTTATAAACTCTTCTAAAAATTTTAAATAAAGAGCTTTCATGTGGCAAAGTGCAAATACTCCCCAACTCTGTCCCTAGGCTCCAGGTTTGAGGATATATACTGTCCCTTCATGGCCACTGTAGGAAAACCCCTTCACCTTTGGGGGCTGCTGGTGTTCTCTGCATTTGTACAGTGTATGCTTTCCTCCCATTTGTCCTGACCTCATGGGCCATGCAATCCCAGGGACTCCAGTGTGAGCTGCTGCTGCTGCTGCTCTGACCATGTAGTGGAGAGGACACAGGTTTTGGAGTAAGACATAGTAGGAATATCAGATCCCCAGTTGTTAACTGAGTGATCTTGGGTTAGTGACCTAACTTCCAATCATCAGTTTCCCCACTAATACAACGGGAATAAGAATACTTATTTCACGGGGCTTTGAAGAATACAAGATGAGCACAGTGCTTGGTGCATATTAAGAGGTCAGAAGAGATCCTTGGGAAAGTGTAGGTACATGAGAACTTCTGACTTCTTCACCCAGGTGTCAGGTTTGGGGTGGTTGGGGGTGGGGTGGAGTAAGGGGTTAGTGACTGAAAGCCCCAGCATCTTTCAGAGCAACTTCGAGATTGTTCTATTCCTTCCCAAGTGATCTATCCCCTGAGAGGCAGCCCTGGGACAAATTCTAGACACTTGACCTGCTGAGATGCCAAATGACACCAGCAGACTCTGACCTCTCAGACCGTCTTCCCACTACCCTCCCAATGGCTCAAACCATGCACGAGCAGGAACTACTACCCACCTGACAGATGGGGAGACCAATGCCCAGACATTGGCAGCAAACCACCCAGACTCACAGAGACAGCTGAGGCAGCCAATTGGGTATCCTAGCAGTTCAGCTGGGTTCTTTGCACCCAGGACTCCCAGGAGGCTGTGCAGCATGAAGACCGGGGTGAGGGCAGCCTGGGCCACTTGGAACGGTGCCCAAGCAGTTCTGTTTGGGGAAGATGGTGCACCTTATCCTGAGGACTCAGGCCCCTCCTGGCCTAGGGCAGCTCTACGTTGGAAAACCCAAGGCCTGGATTCCAGTCCTAGCTTGGCATACAAAAGTGAGACCCCATGGAGCCTTGTTCCTTCTGCCTGGGCCTTTGCAGACTGGGGATGAATGGGCATAGAGAATGCCCTGGTGAATTGTGAGCTCTAAAAGGCCATGAGAGATGGTATGGGACATTTATGCTGAGGCCATGTGAGGAGTTTGGGAGAATTTGCCTGATGAGTGTAGCAGAGGAAGGTAGGTTGGAAGTGAAGGAGCTCTAGCCTGTCCTGGCTCTTTCTTCTCAATTTTGAAAGAGGTGGCACAGAGGCAGGTACTCCTTAGAGGACAAGGTCTCCAGACTTTTAGGCATGAAGCAAAAAGGCTGGCACCATGCAGGGGCCCCCCAAACCTAAACCTAAATCTCAGGATCTTCTGTTTGAGACTGCACTTCCCTCACAAGACTGACCCCCCCCC